GCGGGGGGTGCCCTTTTGGCCCCCCCCCCCCCCCGCCATGCAGCTGGGTGCAGACGCCTGGGAAGCAGGCTGGGGAGCCCACCTGGACGACCTGAGGACCCAAGGTATGTGGTGTCCCTGAGGCGGGGTGCTCCCCTCCTAGACCTGTTTGCTTCGGCCAGCAACAGGAAATGCCCCACGTTCTACTCGTACAGGGGGAGGGGGAGCGGGTCCCTGGGGGACACCTTGATAGGGCTATGGCCCAGGGGCCTCCTATACGCGTTTCTCCCATTTCCCCTTATTCATGAGGTCCTCTTACGGGTCAGGAGGCTCCGGGCAACGGTGATCCTCATTGCCCCGGCGTGGCCCTGCCAACGCTGATACACGACCCTCGTGACGGAGGCCCCCATCATCCTCCCGCAGGCCCCGGACCTGCTCACTCAGAACGGCCCTGTTTGAGCCGCTCGCTACCTGTTCCCTGTCTCACCTGTCCTGGAAGGTGGTGTTCCTGGTGGCTATTACCTCGGCTAGGAGGGTCTCAGAGCTGCGGGCCCTGTCCTCGGAACCACCGTATACGGTGTTCTCCAGGGATAAGGTGACCCTCCGCCCTCACCCAGCATGCCTGCCTAAAGTAGTGTCCCCGTTCCATATGTCGCAAGAGATAGATCTCCCAGTTTTCTACCCTAAACCTCATGCAGACGAGAGGGAGCAGGCGCTACACCCCTGGTCACCAACCAGTCGATCGCGATCTCCCGGTCGATCTCAGGGGCTCTAAGAGTAGCTCTTGAGCCCTCTCTGAACTGCGCACCTGTGCAGGACATTTACATTAGATTTACTCATTTGAGGAGCAGCTCCTCACCGAGCAACAACACAGATGAGTAGCTGTGAGGAATGGTGGGAGCTGGGAGGTCAGGAGGGCTGAAACACCCCAGCCAGCTGACTGTGGCTTTCGGCTGAAAGAGGCTACCCCACGCTCCAGCTGATTGGCGGCTTCTCCTCTGAGCCTGCCCACGTGGAGCTTGGCGCCATGGCCAGCTGACCAGGCAGCTGCTTCTCTTCCCTCCAGCCCGGCTGCCCTGCACTCAGCCCAGGGAGGCTGCGTCTAGTTCCAGCTGAGCTGGAGCAAGCTTCCCGGGCTGAGCGCAGGATCACAGATGCCCATCTGATGGACTGTATATGACTAGCAATCTCAGACTACAACCCAGACTTCAAGACACTGGCAGATACTGTTCAGTCACAGGTGTCACACGGAGACTTTGTTATTGGCAGAAAAAATATAGAATTATCAATACTTGGTTTTAGATTTACAAAATAGCCGAGAACAAAATGTATAATTGTAAATGCTTCATTTGACAGGTGAAGATCTACCACCCCGCCCCTTCCCTGAAGCCCCGCCCTCTCTATTCTTCTCTCCATCACTTGCTATCCCCAGCCCATTCCACTAGGGCTTGGCTGTCGTCCACGGCGTTCTTAGCCCACGTGCCAATCCTCAATAGATGCAGGGCGGCGTTTATTAAATTAACCGGTGTCCCAGGTTCAGCCTTCTCCAACGCCGTTCCATGGCAAAGTGAGGCACAAATCGCACCGCCCCATTTTTGTGGCTAGAAAGGAAAGTTGCTAAAAGGGGATTTTATGACAGGTTTGGGAAGGAGACTTATTTTATGTTTAAAAAAAGAAAAAAGAAAAAGCTAACGCACAGTGCGTCTGCTGCAGAAATCTCCCCCGCACCCCAGCTAGGACTGGGAGAAACCGACCTTGAGACTCTGTCTTTCTCCTGGCCTGGGTGTCTGACCAGTCCCGGGCACGGTGGTCCATTCCCCCTGCTGCAGACCCACCAAGCGTTCTCTGGGCAGCCACCCCGTCCCCTCCCTTTCTTACGCTCAGCCTGGGACTCCTCACCGCTCTCCCCTGCGCTTTGCCGTAACCGGCAGCCCACCCTGGACAGCTGCCTGCTTTCCCCAGGCACCTCTGTGCTTCATTGGGGCGTCACGCCTGGGGGCCCCGAACTGCCCGCAAGGCCTCAGGGCAGCCCGGGGGAAACACCGGAGCATTTCACTCTCCCCGCCTGCCTCACAGCCCCCAGGAGAAATAAAAATACATCCCCTGGGACCCAGAGAAGGGCCTCACCTCAGGTACAGGGGAGAGGCTAACCCCCCTATAACTGGGCTCCTGACCCCCCATTGCCCCGCGAGTGGTACCCTCTGCCCCATTTCTAGCTAAAAGCAGGAAACTCAGGGAGCCCAGCTCCGGTCTGCGGCAGGAAGGGGATTTGCTCTCCCGGCTGCAGCAAGTGGGACCTGAAAGGCGGGTACCATAGGCGAGGGAAACAGCCTCCACTGCCCGGCCATCTTGGGGGACTGGGGCTCCATGGCTCCGCCATGGCCAAGGAATGGTGGGGCCGTGCGGGAGAAGGTCAGGTTGCACCCTGCAGCAGCCCTGATCCTCAGCTGGGGTTGGGAAGGGGGAAAGGTTGAAGGGGCGTGGTCTCAGGGAAGGGGAGTGGCTTCAGGTGGAAGGACTGTGACGGACCGGGCCGTGTCTGGGCACAGCTGAGGGCGTCCGCTCAGGGCGAATTGCTCAAATCCGGGGCTCCTTACAGCCCCCAGACTGGTGACCTCTCCAAACAGGCCACAAACCAGTCCTGCAGAGCGCTTCAGCAACCTGCCTGAAGCCTCCCGAGCAAAACCCCTCTGACACCCCAGCAATATCCGTGCCCCAGCTCTCCAAACAGGCCACAAACCAGTCTCACAGAGCGCTTCAGCTGCCTGCCTGAAGCCTCCCGAGCAAAACCCCTCTGACACCCCAGCAATATCCGTGCCCCAGATGGCCCCGGGCCTATACACAGGTGGGGGGTCCTAGCACCCAATCCCACCTACCCCGAACAAGTCCTGTCCGGTTCCAAGAAACCAGCCACAGATCCCTGGTCAATTTACCCTCTGGACCTTACCCACAAATCACGCTGGGCCAATCCTTTAGAAATCTATATCTAAAGGTTTATATTACAAGAAAGAAAAGCCTGAGAGTAAGGTTATTAAAGTACAGTACGTTACATGCACCGAATCTCCCAGTTCTCAATGCAGGCTCTAGCAGAGATGTTACAGCTGCTGGTTAAAAGTCCTTATTGCACATCCTACGATCAGGATGGGTTCACAGGTCTTCCGGGCTCTTCAATCCCTGCAGTGCTGCCTCTGGGATGAAGTGCTGAGCTGAGAACAAAATGGCATCGACCACATGGCCTCTTTATACCCCCTCCCTGGCCTCTTCTAGTCTGCAGCAAGTCACCTGGTCAGAGGCCAATCTCTATGTTCCCTGCTGGCTGCTCTCAGGTGACAAACCCCATTCTTTGGGTGTGTCCTGGGCCCATCAAGTGCCATTGTTCCACAGGGCCTGGCTAATTAGCATGTCCACAGGCCTAGGCTCTGCCCAATGCTCAACCACATGCAGAGAAATATTTAGTATCCACACAGATTACAGATTCCTACCTACTCACACAGACATTATACACTCTCATAAATAGCGTACACAGGATCAGCAAACAGTAGCTTCTATTCAGCACCTCACATGGCCCCCTCCTATACCATTCTTGGGGCCAACACCCCCACCTAGGGGTGCAGCAGTGATCTGGCTGCTCCCCTCAAGATCCAGTAACGTGACAGAAGGGGTGGACTTTTTGCTGCTTTCCCCAGCTGGGCTGAGGAAGTGCCCCTGAGGGACCCAATAGTCAGGTCCTCGCTAGAGCCGCTCAGTTGCACACCGGAAGATCGACCCCCGCAGCCTCAATTTCCCCAGGAGGGCCAACGAGGGTGGAGCTGCCAGCCAGTTTGGGCAGGGCCGGGCCAACGCTAGCAGGGACCATTTGGGGTGTTCCCAGCCTCGCTGGAGCAGTGACGTATTTCCTACTCCCTACCCTCTGCCTCAGCTTGTTCGCTCGGCTCTCCCTGCTGAGCTCCCCTCTCCTCGCTGGCTGGGCTGGGCTGGGATCCCCTCTGGCCTGGGCCAGAACCGGGCAGATGGTCAGCGGCTCCGCGTTGGTGCCCCCAGGATGGAAATACGGGTGCAGCGTCCCGGAGAAGGTGCCGGTGAAGGTGAAGAGATGGGACCTGTCAGTCACATTGTAAAACGAGACCTCGCCCGCCTCGTAGTCCAGGAAAACCCCCACCCGGCTGGGCCTGGCGCTCAC